GAGTGACGTGTGGATCAGGGTGGAGTGACGTGTGTGTGTGTGTGTAGCAGACAGCGCGCCCCTGTCACTATGCACTGCTTGTGAGAGAACAAAGAAAGATGCCTAGCAGGGGATGGAGATCATTGCAGTCCCCTCTCAGCATTCTGAGCAGTCGCCCTGCCAAGCCTCGTCTTTTCAGGGGCAAACCTTCCTAGTCTCTGCTGTTCGCGCAGGTTGCATGACCTTTCCTGTCAGTTCAGCGTTAAAAGGGAGTACAACACTACAACAACCAGTGCCACCCACCACTAACTGAAAATACAAGGGAAAAACAAAGATCCCTCAGTGCAAGAAAGTCAAGCACCACCAAACACAGTGTCTTTTCTGATCCAAGCATGTGTTGGGAGATAATGTAACTGAACAGAATAAGAATAGTTCACCCATAACTGAGTCTGTCACTATTTACTCAACCTCATGTCATTCTCATTCATTGTAATTGCATGGAAAAGAGCGGCCAGTATGGAAGAAAAGAAGTCTGGTTTGGAAAGACATGAGGGGAGTGAATTTACCTTTGAAAGGGAACTTCAGTCTTCAAATACACTGCGAATTTTGACGACATTAAAAGTGAAGTTCAGACAATTTATGGAATTCATTCTACTCCTTTCAGCAACTGAAAAGATGCAACTGCATTTTCAATGTTGTCATATACAGTATATGCTACCGATTTAAAAGACACCTACTCACTCTTCCACATTTTAGAATAATATGTGAATCAGATCATAACCATCTTATATTTTAGCTTCTTCAAAGTCACTACTCCTTGTGGACATTCTCTCGACCAACTTGAGGATCCTCAGATGCTTTTTGAAACGGTACTAAACAAGCTGTTGCTGGCTTGTTTACAATAAAATTAATTAAAATATTATGGTGATAGAATTACAAAACTTACAAAAAAACAAAACAAAAAAAAAAACAAACAAAAAAAAAAAAATCACAAAATATATGTTGTGCTTGAATTAGGCTGCCACGTTTGCATTACCTAAACTAAAGGTAAAGAAAATGCTGAAATATACATTATTGATAATTTGTGGCATCTGTGGGGCTTTCGCTTTCATTCCTTAAATGTAAACTACAGTAAATGATTAGCAGGATGTCATCTCACAAAGTAGCAGTTGATTAAATACTTAAAAGAAGGTAAAAAGTGCTAATTTCACACAGACAGTGTTAAGTATGAGAAATGGAACCGCTTCTTTAAATCAGATTATGATTGATGTAAAAGAGACCTCTGGCAAAAAAGAAAGTATTAATAGAGATAATAGCCACCTTAATTGGTCCATAATGAAATATGAAATAAATTCAAGATAAGAGTTTTGAATACATACATATCGCCATTTCCTCTCTTTGTACATTAATTAACAACAAAGACATTATAGATAGATAAGGGAGGGGGGGTACTTCCCAACAGCCCTAATTTTCTCTTTTAAGACACTGTGAGTGGGAAGGACCATTGACTTCAATGGCGTTGCGCGGTTTGAACTTTATAGATTTGTAACTAGTTGGTGTTGACTAAAAAGTCATTGGGGAACAATATTCCTAGTATTTCCCTCTAATCATTCACCTCACAAAACACAAAATAAACAATGATAACATTTGCCAGTAATTATGAGAATGAGATGAAAAATGCACTGTGAACAACTAAACTTTTTTCAAGATACTGTTGATGATGATAATGTACAGTATATAAGCCTATATATATCAGATAATTTGTATTTTCACACAAAGTGATTTGCAGGGCCAGAGTTTCTGGTGGATTACGAAAGCCTAAATTTAGCAACAGTTCCCTGCGAATAGAATGTTATGACGACATCAAAACAATTCAGACATTTGAATTCTGAACCGCAGTGATATATACATGAAGCCTTTAACAGTTCATATGTTGAATTTTAACAAAATACATACAATACATTCTGACTAAATTTAAAGGATATTTTCATTAAAAGACAAACACTATGACTAAATCAGCAACAAAAAATGAAGAAAAAAAAAAGAAAAAAAAAAAAAAAAAAAAAAAAAAAAAAAAAAAAAAAAAAAAAAAAAGACTAAAAAAAAAAAAAAAAAAAAAAAAAAAAAAAAAAAAAAAAAAAAAAAAAAAACTTTAAAATGTCATTCTAAAACTGTCATTCTCAATCAATCAACAAAAAGCAATCAAAAATCAATTAATTAATCAAATCAGCCTCAATGTAACACTGATAAGACAAGAGCTCACTATCACACTTCTTTAGCTCTGTTTTTCTCGAAGTAACACTCACTTTTTGTAACAAGTCATTTTCAATTGTGCAGTACAGAGCACCTCTGGGTCAGTAGCGTCCCCAAGAATTTAATTTCAGACTGCTATAAATTATATCAGTCTGACAAAGAATAAAGATTTGGATTTATCCCTCCTCTTGATTAAATCTCACATTCTTAGCTATCAGAACATTCAAATTTATATTTTCCATCTTAGTATCCTATCTTGCAAGCCGATCACCTAATTTATATTCAAAACCATCAAGCAAACAGCCAACCGCCCTTCCTCTCGGATCTGTCCGCTGGATCCTGTTATTTACTTTAACAATTGCTCTCCTGTTAACTAAACTACACAGTCATTTTCTTTGTAACTTGGAATTTTCTTACTCCTTTTTAATGATCAGGCCTATTACTCACAATATAAATTGCATCAGAGTTGGTTGCAATCTCCGTGATATCTTTTCAGACAGTCCCCTGGCCTATATACACAGGAATATGGAACCAGACTTCACAAAGAGGAGCTGCCATGCACACATCAAAAGTTCTTAATAAGATACTTTTACCTGCAAGGCGCCCCAGGAATGACTGCAGAACCAGCAGTTTCCATAGCAACTTCATCTTCACTTTGGTATGGTCAAAGTCAACTCACATTCAATCACGAATGTATGGAGGCCTCTCTGTGGTTTCTCGTTCTTCACTCTGCAAGGAACACAAAAAATTAGCTGCTTAGTTTGACTCAAAGACCCTCCACTCTGGTAAAGTTCTAGTGATAGTTGACCGAGTTGTAATGTAGAATGCTGCCATAACGTTTCAGTATTTTCATTCTGATTCGGTTCTATTTGGCACCTGAAATGAACATGTTGAATTTGCGTTTTATTATAAAATTATGTTCACCACCTACAATGTAAAATTTACCCATCAGGAGTTAATTCGATTGTGAAAAGTGGTCTCTACATATATGAAAATTGATTGGAATATGCAAGTTATTACATTTTGATGAAAGATTATAAAAACAAACATTTCTGGTGACACTTGTGGTGCAGAAATTACACAGTGTATCTTTGAAGGAAAACAATAAGATATAATACGTATGTATATAGAATCATTTAATCAAGCATGAATCTATACAAACTCCTCCCCTTCTAGCTTGTACAAAACTCCCAGTTTATTAAGTTTATAATGTGATCTTATCTGGCAAAAGTATAATTAAAGTTATGTGTCATTGTGGCTCTTGATTCAGTACCCCACAATGTAAGTTGTTTAGTTTTTTTCTATACCAGTCCCAGGCTAAATAACGCTTTCTTTCACACTTGGTACAGTTGAATACATCTGTTGAATCTTCACATGGCAAACTTCGATATCTACTGTGCGCTTGGTGTGGTTGAGGGATGTTTGTAGTGAGAATGAGGAGAGGAAGCGTTGTTTTTTGGTTCTGTTTTTCCTTCTCAGTTGGAGTCCCATAGGGATCACCATGGAATCGGGACCAAGCGCACATTGTGTCTAGGAAAGGAGTAATTCTCTATGTGTTTCAAGCCTTTGACAGTGCAAAGCACAAAAGTTGCTGGAAAGAGAGTGGAAATCAATGGGGTCTACTTTACCTCCGAGTCCCCAAGCATAAATTGTGACTTCTTTATAATAGTCCTAATTTAGTAAAACAAATGATGGGTTTAATGAACGGACAGCCTCATTGTGTTTATATTGTATTCTAGGCAATCAAGGCACAAAATATTTTATATTTTTATCTAAAGATTCATTATTTCTTTAGGTAAATATAATAAAAACAAGCAGAGATGACAATATTTTAAATCAAAAAGAAAAATATTTTCATAAATAAAATGCATACTTGTAAAAGCCATTAACATTTCTTGCACTGTGTAACATTATGTGAAAAAAAAAGCAATAAAAAAAATAAAATTAAAACAATACAATAAAATTAAATAAAATAAATTTGACACGCATACATACTCACTCACACACACATATACATATACATACACATACATTCATGTGAAAAAGAAAGGACACCCTATTGAATTCCATGGTTTTCTGTCAGGACATTAAAAAAAAAAATCATCTGGTCCTTGGCAGGTCTTAAAATTCAGAAAATAAAATCTCAGATGAACACCACATGACATATCACTTCGTGTCATTATTTACTTAACAAAAACTAGCCCAAAATTGAAAAGCCATGGGTGACAAACTAAGGACACCCTTACTGTTAACATATATAATAAGAGGGTAATGAAAACCGTCAGGCACTGCTAATCAAATACCTTTGATTAACTGATCATGAGCAAGTGTGAGCACCTCTATAAAAGCAGAAGTTTGCTGGAGCCTTCAGGTGTGTGTTAATACAATGCCAAAGATCTTCGAGAAGCAATTGTTGCTGCCATCAATCTGGGAAGGGTAATACAGCCATTTCCAAACAATTTGAAGTCCATCATTCCACATGAAGGACGTTTATTTACAAGTGGAAGACATTCAAGACAGACACCAATCTTCCCAGGAGTGGATGTCCCAGGAAATTCACCCCATTGTCAGACCGTACAATACTCTGAGAAACTGCAGACAACCCAAGAACTACACCTCAGACTCTACAGGCCTCGGTTAACGGTATGGCATGTTTGGAAGATGTTCAGAAGAAAGCCTCTTCTGTCTAAAAAGAAAATGGCAAGATAGCTTAAGTTTGCAAAGTTGCATCTGAACTAGATGTAATGAACTAGATCTGATGTCTAGATAAGACATCTAGAACAACGAGACCAAAACCAAAGTAGAGATGTTTGGCCATAATGCACAGCGCCACGTTTGGTGAAAACCTAACGTTGGCCAATATTGGGTCATGCAACAGAACAATGATCCCAAGCACACCAGCAAATTTACAACAGAATGGCTGAAAAGGAAAACAATCAAGGTGTTGCAATAGCCCAGTCAAAGTCCAGACCTCACCTGACTGAAATGCTGTGGCGAGAGCGGTGCATAAACAAATGCCCACCAACCTCAATTAATTGGCGCAATGTTGTAAAGTAAGAGTTGGCCAAAATTCCTCCAGAACGATGTAGAGAGACTGATAAAGTCATGCAGAAAATGATTACTTCAAGTTATTGCTGCTGAAAGAACATAAAAATACATACATTTAGGAGGTCAACCGATAGTTGATTTTGCCGATACCAATAGCTAGGTAGGTTGGACCACACCGATACTGATAAATTAACCTATAGTTTTTTTTTTTAATGGATAAATGATTACTCCTATTGTAAAGGGTTTCATTTTATATCAGCAGTCATGCTTAAAGATGGTCATCTTTAAATATCTTCACAGGCCATAGCATTGAAATTACATACATATGGATATTGTATGCTTACTCTCACACTTCATTTGCTTCTATTTTAGAACACTTGATGATTATCTAATGAAAATAACTAAATATGGCAGTCACACACATGGACAAAAAGCACAGTGCTGCATCTCGTCTAAAACAATCACAGTTATCTCACACACCGGACGCATTGCGTTTAATTCAAGCGGTGGTCCAAAACGGTTTATTTAATCACCAAACGGGCAAAAGTTTACTTCAAGAATGAACAAAGTGGTACTGAGTTTGGAGTTCGGTGTTTAAATAAACAGAGCATACGGAAAGAGAAAGCACGATCTATAGCTCTCTATATGAAGCATACAGACTTAAAGCCACAGAAAGAAACTTTTCACTGAAAAATACACAATCATGGATTTTTGCCGATAGTTCCAACAATCTCTCTCTATCTCTCTCTCTTTCTCCCTCTCTAGGAATATTTTTTTCCTTGAAAATAAATGGCAAACCTAACCACATATACTAATTTTGGCAGCTGTTACAGAAACATTTTTACAAGAAATACGGATTCTGATTTGACCTTGAGCTTTTACGTATTAGATAGATTAGATAGCTTCGACTATTTACAATAATACTTGGTTACGATGACTCTAATAATTCTTAATTTCTGCAAGGAATGCAAAATCAATCAGCAGTTATTGATATTTTGAATAGAATAACGAGACACAAACCTGTACATATTCAATCACATTCGCTCCCATTTTTTTCTCTCACAGTGCTTTGCTACAAAACATACTTTTAGCCCAAAAGTGTGCACATTTGGAGAAATATGTTTTTCCACATTTACTTCATTTTTCTTAGAATCAGAATTTCTTTAGAATCAGAATTTCTTAATGACTTGCAGAAAGAGGATTCTCTGCAAATCCATCATTCAATATTGTGTGATCATAATTCCCACCTTACAGTGATGGTAAACTTCTGCATTCGGTCTCATAATACATATACATATATCACGTCACAATAGAGTGAATTTTGAACAGAAACTTTGCATCAATCTCATACTGTCACTGATCATTGAACCAGGATCACGAATCCCACACCGTTTCTATTATACAGGAGCACTGACAGTTAAAGTTCTGATTTTATTGTTGTTTGTATTATGTTGCGGTCACACTCCTGAGGAGCGGGGAGCTAGGAAATGAGGAGGAGACGTAGGAATAAACTTAAATAAACAGACGTTAATAAACTAAAAGGCTGGAACATCAGGAACGCAGGAGACATAGAATGATGCAAGACACCGAACCAGGAAACTAGGAACAGAATACTCTTTAAATACACCACTGAACGAGGGGATAACGATACACACCTGAGACAAATGAAACCCACTAGGAGCAGGAACAGGAAGAACCAAATATGGGCAATCAACACAAGGAGAAACTGGGTCACGGGGAGCACAACACAACACAGGAACACAGGTGTGACAGTTGCAGAGTTTTACTTGGCAATGTTTAATATATATTTCGGTCATGACAACTCTCGGAGGGATTGGCATGGTAATGTACATGACAATGTTAATGTATTTGGTCTTGGCGGAATAGATCTGCTACGCTGCCGCTGAGCAAGTGCCGAGACTTGCTACTGCCAATACATCCACAACATGCTGCTGTGAGCGTGTAAGAAATATTGCTGCTGCAAATATAACATACATGAAATTACCCCCCACAAAGCAGAAGACATAGAAGGGACAATACAAGCCAAAACACACCCTAACAAGCAGATCTATCGCCAAGACATATGTACTGCTGCTCCAAAGAGCCATGTGAACCGCATGTATTACTATCTATGTGTGCCTGGGCTATCACGCCAACCGGCTTAACACTAGTGACCTATGGCTATGTGAGCCTTGGCTACCATGCCGACCGGCTTAACAATAGTGGCCTATGACTATGTGAGCCTGGGCTACCACGCCAACTGGCTTAACTCTAATTAGACGCGCACTGTGTAATGTTTAATTAACAAAATGGATATACTTTGCAATCCGATAGATAAGATCCCAGCACCCACCTGAGCAAATATCATAAGTTAGTCATTTGATAACTGCTGTTACTTTCTCCACTTCATCAGTCCCAGCGGCAGCGTAACAGCTTGTTAAATTCATGTTCGTGCAATGATGAGATGGACAAAGTTAGTCGATGCATGCCATTTTACTCTCTCGTGCAGATAAAAGTTGTCAAAGTTACAGCACACAAAAACCCCTGGGTGGACTGGCCTGAATGAACTGAAATAAAAGCAGAATATAAATGTTCTTCCTCCGTTTTCTGAATTACACAGCACAGCACACGTCACATGAGCACATTTCTCCGAACTACACTCCCCATAATGCATTTCACTC